GCGCAAGGTCCTGAGTTCGATCCCCTGTACCAAAAAAAGGAAAGAAAGAAATTGAAATCCAGTGAAATGAGGGATGCATAACCTCAAGTGGTGACATAAAGGAATAATCAACTCCTATGTGAGAAAAAGTCATACAGAAAACATACATTTCACATAGACCTTAAAAGGTGAGTTGCCAAGTAGATAAGAGGGTAGTGTTCCCGGAAGAATAATCACAGGTGACAAATAAAAAGCTTTGAAGAAGTATAATATATCCCAGAACTCTAAATAGTGTAGTATGACCAGAATTTGAGGCAAGAGTAGAAATGGACCAAAGAGATGAATTTTGGAGTTTTAGTTTAAATACAGAAATGATCATGGTCTTTAAATACCTGAATCCTGAAACCAGGGAAGCAGATTTTTTTTTTTTTTTGGTGCCGGGGATGGAACTCGGGTCCTTGCATTTGCGCAGCAGGCAGCGAAACCACTGAGCTAAATGCCCGGCCCAGCAGATTTTGATTTACTAAAAAAGAAAACTTTCAAACTCCTGAAACTATACAAAAAAAAAGCAAAAGTACACATTCATCAGAGAAGTGGAAGAAGTATCCCTATTCATGTATAAGATCAATCCCTCAACTGGTGTTCCAGACCTCACTTCCCTTAACTCTTCACAAACTTAGCTTATTCAGTTTTCTCCATTGTCTCCAGCAGCATCCATTTCTCCCTCTCTCCTATGATAATATACACATGTAACATATATTTATTGGTGACTTGATATCATCTGTTTTAAAAATAGTCTTGAACTCTTGTCACCCAGCAAGTGCTGACGCAGTTCTCTGCCCTTTTATAGCAAATCCCTCCAAAGATTGTTTAGATATTCATTGTTTAACTCATTCTACTAGAGCTTTTTTCTTCCCCCACTACTCTACTAAAACTGCTTTTTAAAAAAGTCACCAAGAGAAACCTCTAAGGTACCGCAGGGTAGGCATAGAATACATATAGACACAAAAGAGTTTGATGGATGTGTATAATCTGATAAGCAAACAGAATCTTAACCTAATAACCAAAGATCTTCAAAAGCAAAAAACAAAAACAAAACTAATACTAGCCTTATTGATGGTATCACTTTAGGATAAACTGGCTCAGCTTTATCAAATACAACTATCTTTACAGTAATACTATCCACTTCCTCTGGAAAACAAGAAAGAAGAGTGAGATGTTGAAATTCAGCAGCTTTGCACCATCTTCATCAGTATAAATGATCAACAAATACTATACTTTCACATCTCCATCACAACTAACACTTCTTATAATCTAATCTTCTAAAATAAACTAAAGGGGCCGGGGATTTAGCTCGGTGGTTCCAGCGCCTGCCCCGCAAGCGCAAGGACCCAAGTTTGATCCCTGGTACCAAAACAATAAAATAAAATAAAATAAAATAAAATAAAACGAAACAGTAAGTACAAAAGATAATTGTTCCTTCAGTATACCTCCTTTTCATACATTCTTGTTGTCTTCAAACCCATCCTTTGTAAGAACCTTGTTCAATGCCTTTACACAGTAGTAGGAACTCTATAAATGTCCATTATAGTATAAATACAGTATAAAATGAAAACAAGTGATTAAACATAAATCTGACCCCAGATACTAGAAAAATAAGAAAACCCCTTTCTTGTAATTCTTATAATTAAAAAATCATACCCTTAAAAAAATCTGGCAACAGGGCCAAGGATTTAGCTCAGTGGCACAGTGCCTGCCTCACAATCCCAAGGTCCTGAGTTCGATCCCTGGTACCCAAAAAAAAAAAAAAAAAAATCTGGCAACAAATATAGGATCTGGTACAAAGTAAATACTAATTCCATAAATATTACTTCTCCTGTCTCCAAAAGTATCCTGCCCTTAAGAAACAATATACAAACTTGATAAATCCTTTATATCTTGTATGAATAAGTTTTATCTATTTTTGTCAGAAATACCTGCATCTTAAGAAAATCACAAGAACAAGGGACCTACTTACTGAATTTCAGACACTACAGGATATGTGTAAGTGATATCCTGAGACAACAGAACATTCTTAAGTTTCTAAAATGATAACAACTGATTAAACATAAATGTGCCCCCAAGTACCATGAAACAAGAAAACCCTTCTCTTCTAATTCTTATAATTAAAAAGTCATTTTTTTTAAAAAACATATTAAAATCTGGCAACCAATATATAATCATTAACAATGGCTGTCTCTGGAGTGAGCCAAACAATATATGTCTTAACTTCTTCATTGTGCTTTTCTTTATTGTTCAGTTTTTCTATAGGGACTTACAAATGACTAATAAGCCTCATTAAATACAGCCTTTGCTCTTTGTAACTCCATTCT